CTATTCTACCTTCTTCGAGCAGACACCAACACTCATATTTATAAACAAGAAGGTTCATCCATCGTAGTCCATTCTTTAAGTTTCATGCACACAAGTACCTTAACCAACCCATGAACCGAGAAGCCAAGGAATTGGGAGACACATGGCTACAGAGTGGCCACTAGCACTGACACTCTCACATCCTTATCCCTGTCAACCGGGTCTGCAAATTGCCTTCAGTCTCTAATGGTTTTCATGAGCTGAAGTAGAAAGAAAGGAAATTGGAGCATGAAACACAATCATGAAATTTGCAGAAACACAATCATTATAGATAAATCTACTGCAAAAGTTTCCTAAATTCTACATTGCAGCCAAGGTAAAAGTTAAGAGATCCTTTCCCCTCCTCTATCAAAGCAGCTGAATCGTGCTCTGTAAAACTTTCCTTTGCTCTGTCAACCTAGACTGAATCCATTGCGCTCCAGAAGCTAGCTCAGTACAATGTAAGGAACTGACAATATACTTTTCAGAGAAGATCAACTGCATATGGCAAGTCCTCTCCAGATGGCAGTAATCATACACCAACCCCACGACAGAATACACCTCTCTTCCCGTCACACAGATTTCAGCATGTTCCTGGGGTAAGGCAGTGCTGAAAGAAATCAGTTATCACCTGTGATTTGGACTCATGGCTATTTTGGCTGGTAAAAGATGCTCAGAAGCACCTGGCAATGCTGCTAAACAACTGTCTACACCAACTGTGAAGAGGGGAACCTACCATCCGCCTAAACTATGCTATAGTTCCCCTAGTTGTCTCAAAACCATTTTGAGATCCAGCAGACCATGCAAATTACATCCTAATGTCAAACCTCACATTTTGGGATAACATAACACAGAAGCTAATGAAGAACTACCTCCAAGCACACTTATCCACTAACAATATTTTCATTACCTTGCTGAATTGGGGCCTAAGAGAACTTCTAGCCAGTATTCTACTTACTATGCTGGCTCCCCCACAGGATTCTGGGTCAGTTTCAGAAAGCATTGTTAATTTTCAAAGTTCTCCATGGAACATTCCCCATGCCGTTGGCTGGAGTGCCTCTCATTCTCGGGCCGTGTTCTTGTTTGCCATCCACTTTCTTCAGGAACAATGAAGCTCTTAGCTTTATGGGGAAAGCTCATCAGATTTCTCAGGAACCGGGTTAAAACTTTCAAATGCCTTACTGGAGCCGGTAAGAATGACTACACAACTCGCTGTCTGCAGAGCAAAGAGTAACAATGACCTTTTTAGATTTATTATGCTCCTTCATGGCTTGAAGTAGCATTGAAGAGAAAAGGAAAGAGGCAGCACTGTAATTAGGGTTGGCAGAATTTGACTTTTTTCTAATTTTGATGGCTAATATGTGTTCATGAGCAGTTTTTCCATTTAAACTTTCAGTTGTGGGAAATTATGGGGGATCAGATACTGGTGGGGGGAATTAGGACAATAATTATTTAATGACAGTGGACATTGAGATTCAAAAGGTAAAGCTTTATAACCTTTAAAATACAACTTGTCAACATTACATGTTAAAATCTACAAAACAAATGTCCTTAAATCAAACTCTAATAAGTTCTCAAGCATCAGTTCTCTTACTTTGCTTATCTGTAAATTTCGAGTACTATAGATGGAAATGTTTTCTCATCAGTTTGTGTATGTACGGTGAAATCAACGTTTGTCGATTTAAAAAAAGAATCCTTCCAAGGCCTAGTTACAAGAATCTAGACAGATAGCCAATAGCTAGCATTGCCACATTGTGACCTAGGGGAAGCCACTGAACTGGTCTGTGCTTGAGTTTCCACACCTGTAGAATGAGGAGGATAATCCTTACCTGCTTCACAAAGGTGCTGTGAGGCTAAAATCATTGCTTTTTGTGCTTTGTGTTCCCCAGCTGAAAGGTGCTACAGAAGTGCAGAGTATTACTCTGACACCTAAGCTATCTATAACACCTGAAGGCGGGGTTGACCAAATTCTAACCAAACTCATTGAAGAGCCATGTGTAAAATGTAAGAGTGTGCAAATGAAATTATTACAGTCTCATCAGATAAGAACAGTCAAAAATAAAAGGGGGAAGGTTTGTTATAAAACAATTAGTATAATTTTAAAATAGGAAAAGACTTGAGTTAACACTTTCCTAGCAGTTTGTTTGCAGCGATGGCTGCTTACCCATCACATCACATCAAGCACCAGGGGGCATCAGAGACTACTAAGGGTCTCTGTCAGAACAATCTCTGGAAACAGAACTATGTGGACTCTAAACATATACTCACCTCCACTGCTAAGAAGGAGTAGGTCCCTGGAGGGAGTTGCTGGAATTCACTGTGGAAAGCTGAGGGCAGGAGACCATCAGAGGGGCAAACCTGCTGACAGCCTTCAGTTAGACAGCGAGGTATGGAAGGCTGAAGAGGCCTGAGGGCTAGAAGACCAGCAGAGTGGCTAGCTTGCTTACCTTTCCCAGGTAAAGGCTTGCAAGGTGGCTGTTCTGATGAAAGAACCCAGGGTGGTTGTTCCAATAAAAGAATAGGTAGGACTTAATGGAAAGCCCATGTACGGCAGAAGCTTCTGGAACTGGGTTTATGGAGACTGTGCACTGTACATGGGATAAATGGAGTGTGTTTTGGAACTTGTAAGGACTATTTGCACTCTGTGGAATAATACATTAGCCCTTGGTAGGTGTAATATTGGGTCCAAGAGAACTTGTGGTGGAGTCTTGAAGGAGCTTGAGAGTGGAAACTGAGGTGGTGACCGTAGTCATTATTGCACCCAGCTGCAAGAGGGTGCTCAGAGGTGAGGGGGATTATGACAATAAGTTATTTACTGGTAGATAGGTAAATGAAAGTTATAACTTCACAGGGACCTAGCAATGGTAGGGGGAATGAAAGGCAGGATAGCAAATGAAATTGTTTTGACAAATACGAACTGATACATCAAGAGGAGATACAGTGATGCATGATGAGAGATGTAATCCAGGATTGGAACTTTTTAGTTTTGAATGGAGACAAGATAGAGAAATAAACAATGAATGGTGTGAGGGAGCTACATTTGGCGTTCGTATACAAGAATGAGATATTGAAAAGCAACAAATTTAAACCTAATTAAAGGAAACAATTTTTTAGCAGTGAATAAATATGCTGTGGAACTCACTGCCATACAATGCAAGAGCTTAGTAGAGTTCAAAAAACGGTTTGACATTTTAGATGGATATGGGGAACATCCTCAGTTGCATTAGGGAGGATTAATTTTTATGATGGCATATAAACGCTTGTGCTTTATGGTATAAATCAGCCACAAACTGATAAGGGTCAGGAAGAAACTTCACCTATGAATAGTTTAGTCCATAATTGTCCACTATGAGGTTCCTTGCATTTGCTCTGAAGTATGACACTATGACATGGTACTGGACTATATGGACCTTTGTTCTAAACTGGAAAGGCTATTCTATGTCTTATTCTCTTAATTAGGAGAAATATTGATACTAAAATGCTTGTTTAGGCACAGACAAATACCCATGTCGCTAGAATCTATGGTGCATTGTTAGCTCCTCAGCTGTGTTAAATCACTGTTCAATTTGCAGATATCATAGCTGTATGGACCTGTGACCAATGAATTGCCACCCCCTCAACCAGTACTAATTCGTCAGGTATTCAGCAATACATTTTTATTTTCCAGTCAAGTACACCGCCCCACTGTAAAGTTAGACATAGCGTTTTATGATGACTCTGCCATATATTGTGTGTGTGTGGGTGGGGGGGGGGGACGGACTCACCATTAGGCAAGCTACACATGAGTAACTGTACAATTTTATATATGGCAGCGGCTGCTATCACAGCTAAGATGAGGTTGTAGCAGTGTGTGTGTGTGTGTGTGTGTGTATATATATAAATATATAAATCAGCTCTTTGGCATTGCTCAAAGGATACATCCAACTGTACATTAATTGAGCCTCCTTTTCCTGATTGACCTCTGAATAAGATCTATATTTCAACTAGAGCTGATTCAAAATGATCAATTTTTTCACAAAAATATTAATGGAAAAATTATTCCTATTTTTTCCATATGAAAAATGTCAAGATTTTTCAGCCAGCTCTAATTTCAATGGCTACTCCAATGTACCCATTTTTCAGGATGCTGAGTAGCTTCATTGCCACAGACCCACGCTATCGTCACATTATAACTGGCTCTCAAAGCAGTCTTTGAGCATGGGCTTTCTATTGCTAAAGTTAATTTCCAGGTATCTCTGTAATATCCAGTGCTGAACATCTCTCAGCTCTTGAACGTTCCATGTGGTACCTTACATGTTCCCTTCTCTTCCTCCGCTCCCCCTGCAATGCTGGCTCCGAGAAGATCACTGACATCCACAGCCTCTGCAGTTCTCGCTTCTGCCATCTCTTGGCACTCGCTGAGACCTGTATTCAACCCCTCACTGACACTTCCTCCGCAGCTGCCATCTTTTACATCCACCTCTTCTCTCACACACCTTGCCCCTTAATATTCCCCAGAAGAGCAAGTTGGGGGTGTATGGCTTGTCTCTCAATCAAGCCATTACCAATCCTCCCTCCTCTCCGTTCAAGTTCCTTCTCCTCTCCCCCTCAATCATCTGCTCCCCTACTTTCCCAACCACCTGATTTTTGACTCCCAATTCTCTCACCTCAGTCTCTCACTCCTTCTTAGCAATTTCCACAATGAAATCTCATTTGACCCTTGGGTTCTGGCCCTCTCGTCCTCACTACCTTGTTTGACCTCCAATTGGATCAACTCTCTAACTCATCATAAGGACTGCTGCTTGTCACCAGCCAGCTCAGGTAAATACATGGTCCTTGTTACTGTTTCCCTCATCCTGAATTTTCTGATTATTTCTTATTTTCATTTTCTGTGCATTGTCTCTTTAGATTGGAAGCACTTTAGGGGTAGATACCATCTCCTGCCTGTTTTTGGCCTCTAGATAATACTGCTATACAAATAATAAGTAATCATAATAATAATATTGGTTGAACTGATTTTTTTTCAGACAGTTGTTTACACTTTATTTTGTTTTTCCTCAGATAAATGAAAATGGAATAGTCTCTTGTTTTCCTGTTATGATATTTTAGCTTCAGTGTTTTCATAGAATTGTAAATGAAAGTCTCATTTCACCATCTTTTCCAGTATATTAATGCTAACTTGCTCCACAGAATTCTTAATACACTCTCCCTAGAAAGAGGAAATTTGAGTGTAGAACATACAGTAAAAAATAATGGGGCATATAGAAGTAATAGCATCCTAGTGTAATCGGTGCAGAAAATACTAAAAGGAGATAAATTACATTAAAGCGAAACGTGTATTGACAAGGACTGACAGTATACTCGAAGGGAATGGCAGTCACCTAGTTCCATATGACCACAGGTCTAAAGGGATGGCACAGAATGATACTCATGGTCAGAAGCATATGAACAGAAAACAACAGGGTCCTTTCTGGATGGTTATTTTCTTCAGATATTACCTGTGCACAACGAAATGACAGTGTACTTCTGAAGAACGACAGCCCCTCACGCTATTATGTTTATCCTGACTTTTATAGGCAAACTATGATGCAATCCAGGCATAAATCTTTAGGGAAGTGGAGGTATTCACATAAAAGAAATGAACATATTTAAAACTGATTAAACTATATCAAACAGTTGGATTAGAGAAGGTTACAAAACAAATCTCTGTAAGAACGGAACATTCTTGTACCTGATTCACTTTGCTGTGCACTTTGTACTGTTTACACCAATGCAAAATGCTACATTTCTGATTTGATAGCATTTTGCACTGGTGAAAATAATTACACAGATGCAGAGCAATGGTAAATCAGGTCCTTCTAATTTTTTTTATCAAAGAGATCTCCTACCTGCTCGACTATGTTGGACACACAATTCAGAGACTTGAGTTTATGGCAAGTGCAAATGTGCTAGGTAGCAGATATTTTACCTCAAGATGCAAGTAAAAGGGAACAGCAAATGTTTTAATCCAAGCACACAACTTCCATGCACTTCTGTTCCCTAGCTGATGTATCATTCAGTGATTAAGTGAGTAGGATTAATAAATGTATTTTTATATTTTAATAATTTTTAATAATAAGTCATCTGTTAGCAAATGTAACTGCTAACCAGGCTTTGTCAGCACTTACCCAGGTCTGATTTTGTATCTAAAACCAAAGAATCACAAGGCACCTAGATAACTGCAGCACTTTGGTTGTTAAACAGCTTTAGGTAAGTGATTTAATATAGTTGATGGAAATGCAGTCAGCATGGAATATACTATCTCCACAGATTTCGGCATCCTTGATTTTCAGAATTTCATTTCTGTGGAATAGCATTGTGAAATGATCCATGTGGGAAAATAAACTGGAACTCTTTTGGGAGCTTCTCCATGGACTTCAGGGGGAGTTGGGTTTAGCCCTTTTTCAGTTTAACCAGAAAGCAAAAAGTAATGATGCACCTGTCACCAGTTCAGCACCTTTGTAAACAAAACCAAAATGCATAGGTCACATCAAACAGGAATTGGGAAGAGTCCTGGGGTGATGTAAGCAGGGTGATGCAACTTTACTGATTTCCATGGAGTTGCGGTTACATTGCCCCAGGTCTTGATCTGGCCCAAATATTGTTAACAAAACAAACAAACTTGGTGTAAAGCAGTGAAAGCTGGCCGCTTGAGTCTAGCCATTCTGTCTGGTATTGAGAGGAATCATTCATTTGGCAGGAGAACTGGATGAAGAGAATTTGATGGGTTGCATACAAGACTGGAAAAAAAACAAAAAATGAAAGGAAATATAAACAATACAGTAGTGGGGTGAGGGAAAAGGAGGAAGAGGAAACCAAGCCAGGGAAAAGTTTTGTACTGTTTTTAAACCAGCATCAATAAAGTCCCTCAAAATATTTGATTTAAGAAAAGAGGTAAAAGCAGAGGTGGATGCTGCTATCATTCATGATTGTGGCAAAAGCAGTAGTAATTGTCTGGGTCACATTCTGTAATTGCATTACAAGCAGGGCCACCTTGTGCCTCCCACCCCTAGCCCTGCGGCAGCTCCCCCTCCCCCCCCGCCCTGAGGTGCCCCCCCCCACAGCGGCAGCTCCCCACCCCAGCTCACCTCTGCTCTGCCTCCTCCCCGAGCACGCCGCCCCAGCTCTAATTCTCCTCCCCTCCCAGGCTTACGGCGCCAAATAGCCGTGGGAGGCGGGAGAAGTGGAGCGGAGACCACGCGCTTGGGGAGGGGGTGTGGGAACGCTGTAAAAAATTTGGGGGACCACTTTTTGGTGCCCCCAAATCTTGGCGCCCTAGGCAACCGCCTAGTATGCCTAAATGGTAGCACCAGCCCTGATTACAAGCAATAGCAGAAGAGAGAAGAAAATGCAGCCATCTGGGCAAGACCAGCAGCAATAGTCGAAGCAGAAGTTGTGGCAGCTAGTGAATCTATAGATAGAATGTATAGATCTAAACTCCCTTGTCCATTTATTTTAGGTTCTGTGTTAGATGCTGAGATTTCTGGCACTGTCCCTGTTAAATAACATTCTTTGCCAGAAGCTTTGGTATTTCCTTCAGAATTTTCTGAAGCACTATATGTCTTCCTGCTTTGTCAGCTTTTAATGCTTCTAAACTGCCAAATAGCCTCCAAACAGAAATGTGTCTCAGTCTTTGGGATGTTCTAGTTGCTTTTTTTTCCTTAACTATATTAATACCGTTGCATGCTGTTATTGTCTCTTTTGACTCTGGGACAAAGAATTAAGTTAAACCTTCAGTGATAGCAACTTCAATCCCTTTATCAAATAAGATTATGATCACTGCTTCCCATGTTTTTCCTACATTTGTGCCCTTGATCACATCTTCTGTTACTCCCAACCGAAACTAGTATTATTTCTTTTCTAGATGACTGATGTGTATATTGAGTTAAAAGGCCACTATAAGTGATCCAATAACTAACTGCAGCCTTATTTCCTCTCCAGCCCTTCATTTAACATTCTCTATAGTCCATGCCTGAGCAGTTAGGTCTTCCATTACTACCACAGTGGCATGTGTGTATATTTCTATGCGTTCTCTTGTTCACTGTTCATCATGCTTAATCAGTACTTGATGGTACGAAATGCAACTATGAAAAAGGAAAGCATTTGTCCCATTAAATAGTCAGCTGTTCCTACAATAAAACAACCATTTAACATAGATGAACACTAACCTTTCAGTCAAAGAAGGATATATTTTCCATATGTATTTTCTTCTCTGATTACACTGGAAACAACTGTGGGTCTTTTACCCTAGGGAAGGTCAAATTTCTTCTTTCCTAAAAGGAAGTCATCATTTTCTGCCAATCCTGGCTAAACAGATGTCATCGTCTTGAGGTGTGTTCTGCATGGATCTGGGTAATTTTTGCATGATTTTTTTTCAATCAAACAATCTTTCACAACATTTTCAGGGATCTTTCTTTTCTTTTGCTCCTGTTAGTACATGTTTGTGACTGCAATTTCCATTGGAAGATTCTATTCACTTTTTCTATAGCTCATTCAGTTCATGACAGAGAGATGATTTATTGCTGACAACACAGAATTACCTTTTGTGATACTTCCTTCCCTTTAGAGATGTAATTTATTGTAGATGACTGTTTTGTGCAAGCAGACATATTTCATGAAGAAAACTCCTGTGAGCCACGTTGTGCCCAGAGTCAAGCTGATAAAAAAAATTGATGGAAAAGTTTTCTGTCTGAAAATATAGTTTCATCAAAATTGAAACATTTCACAGGAATGTGTTGATTTCAACCAAATTTCTGGGGGAAAGGGAGAGGCTTAACAAATTGTTTTTATTTTTCTCATTTCATTTCAATAATGTCAGTGTTTTGTTTTTATTTTATCATTTAGATTGATTTCATTTTGACTTAAATTCTAAATATAAAATATTATATATTAATATAATGATTAATAGCTTATATTGCTTTCAACATTATCAAAACCATTTGATGGAATTTTGTGTTTTTTGAGAAATGTTGATATTTTTGGCTTTTCGTTCCAGTTCGGAATAACAAATTTCACAATGTCAGAATTTCCTGCACAATAGAAACTATGTTTTTCCTACCAGCTGTAGTCCTGAGGGATATGTCCTTTCCACACATGGATCTCCCCTTCTATATGGTAGCATCAGATTGCCTCCACAGCAGCATTTCTCTCTGCTCCTGAGTCTCTGAGAACTCTCAGTAGTTCTGTGGATTTCCAAGTTGAGGGAGTGAATTAGAAGTGACAGAGATGGGCGGGGATGTACATTTGTCCCCTCTGCACACAGCACATGGGGCTCGATCCAAAGCCCACTGGAGTCAGAGGATCTTTTCATTGGCTTAAGTGGCTTTTGGAATAGCTCCTTATAGAGGGGAAAAGCCAGAAGCCGTGTTAAAGGACTCCATAACAGCAGAGTCCATTTTATGCTGGGGAACAAGAGCAAGCACCAGCTAGGCAGTCCCCAGCAATCTAGGTCTGATATACCAGGGAGTAAGGGCAGACATGCAAGTTGGCCAGAGCAGCAGAGGCACAGGGCATGTTAATGGCTCCATGGGCTGAGCAGATCCCCATCAATCTTCACTCTTGTGTTTATGGGGTGAAACCATGGTTACTTTTGAGTGGGAGGAAACTCCACAAAGGCAATCTTCTAGAGCTTCTTGGCTTCTACTTAAGGCAGACTCAGGTCTTTTGTTAACATAATGTTTTGTAAACATAAGTCAAGAAATTCTGTTTCTCAAAGTAACCTAAACTTGATTCTCGTCTGCTTTCATAATGTTTTGAATTACTGTGTGTGCCATTACTTTAATGACTCGATGTGCACTGCTTAATCTGTTACCCTATTTGCACAGTGGCAGTGTTACAAGTGCAGTGGGTACCATAATTTTAAATTTTCTGATTTTGGTATGCATCAGTACAGTTTTCTGCATTTAGTTTCTTTTTCACTGAGCATGGTTATTTGAGTGGGCTGAGATTCTGAACTTGTTTTTAATTCAAAATCATATTTTTCACTGAAAATCATATTTTTTTCCATGCAGATAATTCAAATATGAGGGCTTTTTACCCCAAAAGTATTTGCCATTGGGTTGACAACAAGCCTGAAACACTTTAAATCGGGCAGTGTGTGTTTTTTAAAATTTAAAGTGATATATTTTCAAAAGTTATAAGCACCTGGAAAAAAGTTTGTCTTCTGAACCATAACGATCATGATATCATAGCAATACTATAATAGTGCCTTATTCTACAAAGATACCTAAATATGCATTACAAAAGTTGTGCAATAATTTAATATGATGTAGTGTCTGGTGCCAAGCTTAAGAGCTGAAAACCTGAGAAAAATTAATCAGTTTTATGAGCAATCTTTTAACTAGTCACTTTGTCTTGGTGTGCTTTAGTACACTGTGAAATGAAGTAATATAATGGTGACAGTTTTTCTAGGTTCCACAAAAGGACAGTTTTCTCTGCAGCTCATCAGGACTGCTACCTGTATTTTGTGCAAAATATATTCCTTTTTTGCACACATTTTCTTATGATACATGCCCAAATAGTTTAATTACTTTGACTGTTGCTTGGATACATCTGCCTAGAATGTCAATTACAAGGCGATTTCTGTTATCTTTACTCCTTGTTCTGCCTCTTCTCTTAAAACACGGAGGGCCAAATTCTTCTTTGAAGGGAGGTGTGGACCCCTTTGGGGAAATCTTAGACATAGTCTCTGACCCCCAGGTTGAAAACCATTGTCCTAGTGCATTGGAGCCGACCACATTGAAGTCTTCAATCCGCTGATTGATATGCTGGCATTCCACTGACATAATATATTTCTTTCTCCCTTATGTTTCCTGTTCACATCAGAAAATGTAAGCATACATGGCGTATCTGTTGATATGTTATTGTAGGAGCTGCTGGTATATTTTTTCCTACTTACCACTGAAACACTGTGAATATCCATTATTACTATGAAGTCACCATCCTTAAGGGGGTCAGACTAGATAATCATAATGATCCCTTCTGACCTTAAAGTCTATGAAAAACAGCTGCTGTCACCAGGACACCATCTAGCCCTTACCTTTCTCACAAGTGTTTCTATCCATAGCACCCAAGGTTTTCAGTGTCTTGGAGCCATTGGTTTTATTTTGCAGTTATATAATTTAATAATTAATGAGTGTCCAGAGTTTGGTGACCAAAAACATTTTTTTTCTGGATTCTTACTGTCACCACTCAGACACACACAAGGCAATGATTTGTCTGAGATAAAGGTTTATTAAAGCAAAAGTATAAGAATAAAGGGAGAATAGTTCATCCAATCATGACTCATTCATTTATTCAAATTCACAGAGCTTACTGTTACTGGCAAATACTGGTTTCTCTTTCTGTGCTGAAGGCAGGCAGAGTAAGAATGCAGGTTCATGACACTCATTACATCCATGTAATATAAACAAAAGATAAGAACTGCTGTATAAGCCAGATGTGTTTTTAATTCTGTTCTGCAAGATTATTCACACTAAGCAGAAGATTTTAAGATGCATTCTTTGGCACAGATCACTTTTTCAAGAACATGTCCTTTTAGCTGATTAAATTTCTTTAACAAAATGTTTCTTTAATTTTAAGAATCACCTTCAGCCTTTGTTTAATGCTTTAGTCAAAGTTAGACTAGTATTCTTTTCTCCTTCTTATGAGGAATTTTTTCATTCAATATTTGTTAGGGTCCCTCAGGTTGTTCACAGATGTTACAGGAAAAAGTAGGTTCATTATTTAGAAACATTGCTTTCATTAGCAGGGCTTTCCCTTTTAATTCTAATCTTGCTATATGAAGGTTTAGCACATAGGTTGAGTATCGTTGTGATGGAAGATAGTGGGAAAGAGAGAGTGAGATTTGTTCTGATAGACATTAAACATCTTTGATGGGAGCTTTCATCACTTGTTCACGTTTGTATTTAACATTTTCCCCAAATTAAATGCTCCCGGACTATCAGTTGATTCCAGTTCAGATAAGATTCGTATGGCCCAAGGAATTGCTTTTGCATTCTCTCAGATAATTGTCCATCTGTTTCTCTTCATCCTTCTTCTATAATCTCTCTACCAGCAGTTTCAGATATGATGCCCTTTTCCCTAAAAGAAGTTAGTTATGCGCCACTTTCTTTGAGGTAGTTTGTGCATTTTTTAAAAGCTTCTATCATTGTTTTTTATTCTTTCTTTTGAAGTGTAGGATTTTAGCTTGAGATTAAGTTTTGTCTCACAACTTATGCTGCCTTTTCAGCTTTATTTTTCATTGTTTTAGATCATCCTATGATAGCTAATTTCTGCACTGAACTAGACAATTGTCCATGTATTGGATAATATCAAGATTATAAAACAAACTCAATTTTATTTGTTCTCTATTTTTGGGAATTTCCTGTCCTTTTCATTTTACGATCCTCCTCCTTTTTTATTTCCAAGACTAGAGCTGATCAAACACAAAGTTATTCACAAGTATGTTTATGAATCGAGGCAGTGAGTTCAATTTGCTATTACTTTTTTGAAGCATGTTGTTCACTGTTCATGAGTATTTGTACAGCTGCCTGGTATTTTAAAGTCTCTCAAATTTTAGAAGATATGATTATTCATCCAAAAATCCATACCAGAAATGTATTTACTCTTCAGTATTTGCCAATTGTTAGTTTCTTCTTTGAAAAGTTTCTAACATCCAGTCAGGAAAATAGAAACGGTACCATATGAATTAAGTCACCAATTGCACACCATGAATAGTCTGTGATCTGTTCACAAACAACACAGAAAGTTGGGATTTTCCAAAATACGCTATTTGGTGAATACTTATGAGCAATGAAGACATTCATAGAAATCAGGTTCTGATCACAAATGATTCTTGAGCAGGAAAAAAGGCTACATTTGCAACATAAGAACGGCCATACTGGGTCAGACCAAAGGTCCATTAAGCCCAGTATCCTATCCTCTGACAGTGGCCAATGGCAGGTGCCCCAAAGGGAATGAACAGATAGGTTATCATCAAGTGATCCATGCCCTGTCACCCAATCCCAGCTTCTGGCAAACAGAGGCTAGGGACACCATCCCTGCCCATCCTGGCTAATAGCCATTGATGGACCTATCTTCCATGAATCTATCTAGCTCCCTTTTGAACCCCGCTATAGTATTGGCCTTCAGAACGCCCTCTGGCAAGGAGGTTGACAGTGCGTTGCGTGAAAAAATACTTTCTTGTGTTTGTTTTAAACCCGCTACCTATTAATTTCATTTGGTGTCCCCTTGTTCTTGTATTATGAGAAGGAGTAAATAACACTTCCTTTTTTACTTTCTCTATACCACTCATGATTTTCATAAAATATCAGGATTGGAAGGGACCTCAGGAGGTCATCTAGTCCAACACCCTGCTCAAAGCAGGACCAATCCCCAAACAGATTTTTGCCCCAGATCCCTAAATGACCCCCTCAAGGACTGAACTCACAACCCTGGGTTTAGCAGGCATAGACCTCTATCATATCCCCCCCTTAGTCGCCTCTTTTCCAAGCTGAAAAGTCCCAGTCTTATTAATCTCTCCTCATACGGAAGCCTATACCCCTAAGCATTTTTGTTGCCCTTTTCTGAACCTTTTCCAATTCCAATATATCTTTTTTGAGATGGGGCGACCACATCTGCACGCAGTATTCAAGCTATGGGCGTACCATGGATTTATATAGAAGCAATATGATATTTTCTGTCTTTTTATCTATCCCTTTCTTGATGATTCCCAACATTCTGTTCGCTTTTTTGACTGCCACTGCACATTGAGTGGATGATTTCAGGGAACTATCCACAATGACTCCAAGATCTTTTTCTTGAGCGGTAACAGCTAATTTAGACCCCATCACTGTATATGTACAGTTAGGATTATGTTTTCCAGTGTGCATTACTTTGCATTTATCAACATTAAATTTCATCTGCCATTTTGTTGCCCAGTCACTCAGTTTTGTGAGATCCTTTTGTAGTTCTTCGCAGTCTGCCTGGGACTTAACTTAAAATTTTGCCACCTCACTGTTTACCACTTTTTCCAGATCGCTTATGAATATGTTAAATAGGACCGGGCCCAGTACAGATCCCTTGGGGACACCACTATTTACCTTTCTCCATTCTGAAAACTGACCATTTATTCCTACCCTTTGTTTCCTATCTTTTAACCAGTTACCAATCCATGAGAGAACCTTCCCTCTTAACCCATGACTGCTTATTTTGCTTCAGAGCCTTTGGTGAGGGAGCTTGTCAAAGGCTTTCTGAAAATCTAAATACACTATATGCACTGGATCTCCTTTGTCTGCATGCTTGTTCACCCCCTCAAAGAATTCTAGTAGATTGACGAGGCATGATTTCCCTTTACAAAAACCATGTTGACTGTTTCCAAAAAATTATGTTAATCTATGTGTCTGACAATTTTGTTCTTTACAATAATTTCAACCTATTTGCCCGGTACTGAAGTGAGGCTTACTGACTTGTAGCTGCCAGGGTCACCTCTGGAGCCCTTTTTAAAAATTGGGGTCACATTAGCTATCCTCTAGTCATTTGGTACAGAAGTTGATTTAAATGATAGGTTATAGATGACAGTTAGTAGTCCTGCAATTTCACATTTGAGTTCCTTCAGAACTCTTGGGTGAACACCATCAGGTCCTTGAGA